GATTGTCCTATGAGGAGAGACCAAAATATCTAAACTTGTTTACTCTGAAGAGGAGAAATGTCAGAGGGGATTTGATTGAGGTGTTTAAGATTATTAAGGGTATTGATAATATAGATCTATCAATTTGTTTTTGTGTTTAGCAGTGAAAACAATAGGACAAGGGGCATCAATTCAAATTTTGGTAGCATAGGAATCATTTGCAGTTTAGACAGTATTACTTTTGAAACAGGGTGGTTGGCTTTTGGATAGTGGAGGCAGAAATTTAACTGAATTCAAGTTGGATGAATACACGAATAGTAAGGGGTGGTTATAGATGGGATCTGGAAGGGACATCCTTGATGAGCTAATAAGCTCTTTTTTGGCCATGATCTGCTTATGGAGTGCTTATCATTTGTTTTGAAAGTTTGGTATTCATTTTGTAATAAATTGACATTGAAACTGTATTTTTTGTTGCTTTTGTTTTGTAAAGAGTAAATTAATTTATTTGCATGAAAAGAAATTGTAAAATTATCCAATAAACTAAAAAGCATTTTTAATGTGGTATCTTAGTTAAGTTTTCTCTCACTGATAAAAGCCTTTTCACAACACATTTAGATGCATATATATACATAATTTGATTCAATAAAAATTTTATTTTTCAGAGTTAACGGGTCATATCTGTTCCTAGTGACGCATTGAATCTTGTATAGCTCCCTGTAAGTGTTTCATGTGTTCTTGTGCTGGGGAATCCATCCCCTTGTGTTCTGAAGTGTTTTGTGACTGTCCACAAAGTGGACTGGTGAACGATGGAATTATCACACACAAAAACATGGCAAGAGGTCTCAGATTACTTTGGGACTGATCCAGAAAGGGGTCTCTCAGAAGCTCAGATCAAGAAATTTCTTGAAAAATATGGCCATAATGGTAAGTAATCGTTTACTTTGTATGTTTAATCAATTTATATATATATATATATATGTGTGTAATGGAGACAACATTCTGATTATCCATGTAGGAACATGACAAGTTGGAAAAGATTCCTTTTTAATATGATAATATTGGTTATGTCTTGAATTATATAATTATGTGTTCAATCTATTAAGGGACTTTCTTGATTTCAATCAACAACTGATAAATCTTAAAGAGTTAGATACACCTTCAAGTACAGGATTTCATTACAAAGCTGCATTTAACACAAATATTTAGGCTTTTACAAGTTAACTTAGCCTTTTTTTTTTCTTGTTGTATTTGTAGTACATATAAGTTATAAGTGCAGATTACTGTATGAGCTTATTAGTTTAGGGATTTGTTGCAAATGTCTAAATTTGAATTCAGAGCTCTACGTCATTTTTTTAAACCTAAAATGGGAATGTCTATCCTTAGGCTTGGCTTGTCTCTTTCTCGTGATATTGTGGGGTACCTAAGTTCATACATGAACAGATGACGATATTACTATCGTTATTGTTACTTAAACTCTACAGTAGGTTTATCATGTGTGGAAAAAAAAATCAGAGAATTTCATATTTTGGTCCTAAAGGTGTCAAGGAAAATTGTGAATATTTAAAGATAACCCTGGAATATTTTTATAAATAAAATGAAGGATCATATTATCCAAACATACACAAGAGAAATTCTAGCTATAAATGTTAAATACCGTGTCATATTTAAAATGCTAGGCTGAAATTTTTAAAAATACATAATGCCCCGTGGGATGTTGCGAATTGTTTCTAGAAAGTATTTTAACCGAAGCCTTGCTTGGTTTCAGTTTCACTTCGTAAGAAAACATTTACAGCATTCTGCTGAGTTGCCATAACTTAAGTCTTGAGCATGTTGCCATCACAGTATCTTATCACTCTAGGTCAACTTTGCACACCACCACTTCTGCTGTGCTACCAAATCCATCAAAATGAAGAGTGTATTCTTGAAACGTTTATTCTGTCAGCATAAACGTTCAGAGGTTTTTATTGAGAAGCATGTATGGTGATTGAAGAGTGTAATTATTGTTCTTACTATGATATTGTAAAGAAGTGATAACTTTGTGATCTTGGAATCTGCGAAAGGCTGTTGTCGTGATTGTTTTTATTTAGAGTTTGTGTTGTCAAACTTTTAGACAATGTAAAATGTTTATAGAGAACTGTTTAGATGTTTTATCATCTTTAAACATCTGTGATAAAAACTAGTTGTGTATATGATTATTTTTCAAAATTAATTAACTCTTCATTATCTTCGCATTGTACTGGCATCATTTTGTACGATACTTTATCTTCATAGGCTACTGGTTTCTGTTTTCTCATTCAAAGTAATTGGTGTTCTATAAATGGGATACTGTAAAGAACAAATAATTTCTGAATTACAAATATTTGTAGTACATACAGCTCGGTTCGTAGCCCTGTTTCTTTGTAGTGTATGTGTTGTTTTTTATTTGTATAACTTCTAGGTGCATTTCAGTCTTATTGTTATTGAACACTAACCAATAACCTTCTTTCTTTTATTTCAGAATTACCAGCAGAGGAGAGTAAGTGTCAGTTTCTTATATGTAATACGGTATTGTATGAAGTGTACATTCTCAATGTTCTAAAGTTAGAGATAAATTCTGTACAGTTTGAACATAGTACATTAGTTTGTATTAAGCCTGAAAATTAGTATTCAAAGGAACTGGTCTTTAGAAACATAAACTAAGAAGCTTGCTTGCAGCTTTTCAGATTAAGACTAATTACTGAATTCAACATACTTTCATTACTGCATCTAGTATAGTGTTATGTTCTCATTTTATTTCTTTACTGATACACACATATTTCAATAATATGACCATAATTAACTGAACCTGCCCCATGCCTTTAGTAAGGTGTGATAGCATACGCTCCCATCAGAGTACATGTCACCACCCTCAGTTTGGGCTTAGTAAGGTTCTTTTTATGTTTATTTAGTTGTTTATTTCTATAATGTAATGACTGAAACAGGAAATATCAATGCATCTCATATCTTAAGTTTTCAGCAAGCAAGGTTTATTAAAGTAAAACCTAAATTCCAGAGCACTCTGATAGTTTTCTAGGTTGCATGTATGTTTTTATAGCTGTACGTTACCACTGTGATAGTTTTCTAGGTTGCATGTATGTTTTTATAGCTGTACATTACCACTCTGATAGTTTTCTAGGTTGCATGTATGTTTTTATAGCT